AGATAAACAGAAACCATTTTCTCCCTTCAATAATTTTGGTATGCTAATAGTCACTAAAGTCATTAAAAAAGTTTAGCCTAATATTTGCTTTCATATCGACCGATTTTAGGGTTACTGTGTTATTTCGGTTTCGTTTAATCACGCTCAAACTTTGTGGTGTCACCAATCTTTTCACCCAACTTGTATGTAAAAATGGGGAAGATAGAGATTTTGTCGATAACCTAAGGAGTAATTCAAGTGGTAAAAAAGATGAGTCGTAAATTCAAACGTCTTGAATTCGAATTTTGATAACCTCTCATTAATACCTTAGTCCTGACATAGATAACTTATCTTTGATCGGACTAGTGAGAGGATTAGTTGAAATGTACGTAAGCTGGTCCAGACACACTTAATCATTGAACAAAGGTAAAAAAAAAGAAGAGATTTTGTTGGGTGAAGTATAGGTACCTGATGCCATGTCCAGGTCCGCAGGTGACTTTGGTAATGTTAACATTGGTAGCTCCTTGGCCAATAGAGATGCAATCATCACCAGTCCTGATGACATTTCTCACAATTCTCACTAAATTTGATTTGCTGATGTGCATGCCGTCGGTGTTCGGGCTATCGGCCGGAGAAGTTATGTGAAGTCCGATTGCCCTGAAGAGATAGCTGTTGGTTATGTGCATGTGGAATCCCATGCTGTTCACCAAATTGATCCCCCTAATGATTGTATCTTTCATTTGGCTGAAATAAATAGCCTGCACAACAATGCAAAACACATCATAAATTTGTTTTGCTTCTCACTTTAACCACCATAGCAATGTGTTTGGTTTTGGTATTAGGGATGAGATTGGACAAAATTAGTCTGTCGATCACTTAATATCAAGTTCAGACCAATTACGTTGTAAATGTCGGGATCAAAACAATGGATAAATTAAGTATATCCCAATCGAATTGCATATTAGAAAAAGTATCACAACTCTAATCCATAATAGCATTAAATTGACTCATAATTCAAATAATACAAAAAATCACTACAAGAATTAGGTTCTTTTGACACATTTTTTTGTGACAATTGTGTTTACTGTTACAAAAAAACGTGTTTTTGAAGGAAAAAAGGTTTTGTGCTGATAGTATTGTCACAAAATGTTTATTTAGTGTCTCAAATACTATTTAGGACGAAACATTACCACCATAAAAAATTTTTAGGACTCTAATTATGGTGGCTATTATGGCGGCATTGGCTGCCATAATAAATGGAGTCTTAAAATATTTTAACGGTGACAATGAACCGTTTCAAATAGTATTTGGGATAGCAAATTACTTTTTCGTGACAACATTATTACCACAATTTTCTTTTTTAAAACAGATTTTTTTATGACGGTGAATACAATTACCCCAAAAAGCATGTCTCAAAACACTTTAATGCTTATAATGAATTGACCAATTATTGCGACCGATAGAGATTGAATTAGACTCAATAGTTCAGCCTCATCCCCGTTGTGCCGAAAAAACTAGAAAGAAGAACAACCCAGAAGCTTACAGCTGGGAGATGGACGCAGTTAGGGTTCTCCTTGCAATCATTGTATTTCCACACAGCCTGACCTTGTCCATCGAAAGTGCCTCCGCCGGTGAGAATCAAGCCGGTGATGCCGTCGAATGTGATCCATCCACTACCGGAATATTCTGAGACATCTGCTACTGCTTTTAGGGTTCCCATAACTTGAAATGTTATGGGGGCTTGGCATTTGCATGGCCCTTGGAATACGGTTTCAGAAAGTTTGTAGACCCCAAGAGGAACAACAATCCTAACTCTCCCATTGTAATTACATGCAGCAGTCCATGTCTGAATGAAAGCCTGCATGGATAAAAAGATTTTTCTGATTTTAATGAGGAGTCAAAAGATTGCGATATCGGTCTTCAACCCAGGCCTCAGGCCTCATTCAAAGGCATGGTATCAACTATAGACTCATATGATATTGAAACGCATCAACCGTCGCGTCATATAAGATGTGATGAGATAGGACACAGAAAATACTATATAAAAGAATAAACTAAATATGATGAAACAATCCGGTCATATCAATAACAATATTCCAATTGACTCGGAGTTAATTTGAAGATGTTTCGAATGGTTAGATTGACTTGATTAAGACTCATGGGTTTACATGAAACGTGGAACTACTCAATTCGGGCTTGATTTATCTTTTAAACGAATTGAGTTTGATTAAATTTTTTAGATTTGTTTAGAAAATGAGCTTAAAATGTTCGGCTCGATTTACAAAATTTGACTCATTTATATGTAAAGTAGTCAAGTTACTCGGGTTCAATTTGTTTTAAACTTTTTTTTTAAACAAGTCGAATTTGAATAATATTTTTGGATTCGACTCGGGCTCGCTTGGATGAATTATCAGCCGTACATATAACAAAGTGTTCATGTAGCCAACTTCAAATATGAATGATCAAACGTAGGATTTATAATTAACATACATTTCCATTTTAAAATTTTAATCAATTCATGCACTATCGCATATAGAATCCAAACACTTTCTGCAGAAATTTGCCTGGGTGCTGTACAGTTCTTTTCCTGGGTGGGCACCAAACTGCATCACATTAAAAACCTTCTCAACGCCAACGCCGGCAGGGAGACGAGGACCAGCGGGACGGCGAGGACCGGCAACACGACCATGACCACGACCACCACCACCGAAAGCCTCGCAAGAGACCAGAGCTAAACACAAAACAAGCACCACAATTGTGCTAGCAGTTCTTCTGATGGCCATTGCAATCGACCCCCAAACCTATGCTACAATACCTAGTTTTTTTTTTTCCCCAAAAAAAACTTAGAAATTATATGCTCCTACCCCGAAAATTTAGAATTTTTTAGGGTATGAGCTCTCTTTTCATGGACTTAATGTTTATGCCTTACATTTAGTAGGGGAACAAAATAAATTACACCTAAATTTGGGGCTGGTGTTTTGCTCCTTCAAAGTCGGCTGCTTGCTTTCCCTATACACCTCTCATTGGTCTCCAATTCACCACTGGCTTTTCAACCCCCAAAATAGCATAAGGTATTTTTTTTAAAAAAAAAAAATCTCAAATACTGCTTTTTTGAAGGAGAATAATGCGGTGACAACAAGAGTATGTATCTTCCTATTTGTTCTTTTATTTGATTTTTTTTTTTTTTTGGTTCAACGGTTAGGGGTCTTCATCTGTTTTGGTTAGCTTACACGCATCTCGATTAATTCTTTCTCTGATTCGGTCAAAGACAAGCAATCTACACTAAGATTAGGGTATTTATGAGAAATAAATCCCTCATGGCTTGACCCTGAGAGATTATTAAAATTCGACGTCACCACATCTGAGTTTATAACTTATCCTTCTTACCCACTTGAACTACTGCTTACAACTCTCTCATTTGATTTCAGTTTTGGGGAATGAAGAACAATTAAGGCATATCAACATCAAAGAGAAACAAGTACACCAACAATACAACTATTCAAGTAGAAAATATACATGTATCATCACAATATGTATACCAACAAAAGACTACAACAATTGCGATGGAGGAAACATTCAACTACATCGATGTGTTATTCTTTGGTTATTGTATGTATAAAATTCAACCTATTTACGGGCGTGAGAAACAAATAAGATAAAAAGTAAAATATCAAACATACTTATCATATATTTTTATTCAGAGAATATTGATTACTATAATTATTTTTAAATCTTATCGTATCTCTAATAGTGTGTTCATACCGCAATAAGAAAAAAAATAATGGGAGTATATTCTAAAGGTGACTTTCACGAGGTAGAAGCCACTCCAATCCCAGGCAAGTGGGTACAAAAGTTTGGAATATAGGACACTTTGTGTTCTTTCCTAATATTGTGTTTCGGTTATGGATGAACAATTATTTAAAATTCCCTACGAGAAAACCCCATGAATTTCCCTTGTATTTTGATGAAGTTCAGATAAATATGAAATTGGCGAAGGTAATCTCCACCATTAAAGTAGGCTGTCTCAGATGATCAAGTCCCAGTGTGTCTTTGTGTTAATGCTAACATGAAAGAAAAAACGAAAGTGTAGTTTAAATGGCAACCAAGGAGTTCTAATATTGACAATTTTTGGGAGTTAAGTGACGAGAAATTTATAACATTCTTATGAATATTCTAATTCCGGAGTAGATAACTTGTCTTTGACCCGAATCAGATAAGAGAATAATTGAAGTGCACGTAAGTTGGTATGGATACTCCTGACTGTTGAACTGATAGGAAAAAAAAAAGATGACTTGGTACACGATACGTGCTCACATATACATATATTTTGATATATGTTGTAGAAATTTTAATTCCTTTTTGTTTTCCTGAATCTCTTGACAATATTATTGATATGATTATTTGGGATGACATGCTCAACTCGGCCTTGGATATCTTGAAAATCAAACAAATTTGAGAATACCCAAAAATGATTCTTAAACCAAGTTTACTTAATTGAAAAATCACAGCTCCTTAATTATTCATGTTCAAGCTTTCAACAGAGATGACTCTTTGAACAGTTGGTCACTTCCATATATATATTCAGGTTTCACCAACTATCATACCAGGAAAACTACGTTTGAGGTGAAAAAGAATCTCATAAAAGATTAGAATAGACTACTCATAGATTTCGTTTAAGCTTTTAAGTCAAGAGTTCTATTTTATGTCTGTCCAGATTCTAACACACTTATCCTTGCCCCAAAGTTGCACAAACACATATAAATTATGGAGAGAGAGAGAGAGAGCACTTAGCTAGCAGAGATATGGTATTTCTATAATACAAGAGTCTTACAAACATTAGCTACAAGCCTGGCACTAGCAGAAGAAACTCGGTGTTACAAATAACTTCTCCTTCATACTATATATATATATATATATATATATCCAACATAACTACATAAGAGTGCATGGCATGTTGAAATCTGCACTCTGCATATGACATATATAAAAGAGCTAATAAGCCATAGGATTTGGTTTTCTCTTCAACGATAATCCGTAACCAGAAACCCCCCAAACCTTTTGGCTGCCTCAGAGCAGTCCATAACCGTCTCCTTTGGTGCTGAAACTGGGGCTTGAACTTGATGATGAACCAAAGCATAGGCCTCTCGTGGCTGCCTATGCTGATAATAGTTAACCTTCTCATTTGCTATCGAGGCTTGAGGCTTAACAAAAACATGACATGGTTCGTTTGTTTGATGCTGATAATATCTCTCCGATGAGTCCCTTCGTTGAAAGCTTTTCTCCAGTGTATTACTGAAGTCTTCCTTCTGATAAACAACTGAATAGGGTGGTTGTGGTTGATATTGATACTGACAGTCTCTTTGAGCTCCTTGTGGTGGTGGCCTCTGTGGAGCAGGAAGCCTTCCCTTTCGTCCAAACACTTGATCCACAAAGCCAAAGCCTTCCAAGGCAATCTTAGTAAGGTCTGCCTGAGGTGCCATCAGAAAGTAGGTTATAGTTGCTGAGTGACAGTTATACAGAAGTTACAAAAGTTTTTTGGGTGCAAACTCTACATAAGGCAAAGCTGCTTTATATAGGAGAGCTTGGTCTCAAGAAAATGTTCAAGAAAAAAAAAAAAGGAACAAGAATCTTATGAGGGCCCTCTAAATTCCCACCTTTGGGCAATTCCTTCGGCATATTTATTGAGGCCTACTTTCAAGAAGAACAGTAGAAGGCAGATTTTTTATGAAAGATTCATTTATTAATACATAAAGAGCGGCTCAATGCACGAGACACTCGTTCACTTTAGAACATCACTTTGGCATTTAGAGAAAGTAAGATATATATAATCTTGCTCTGGTTGTGGAGAAATTATTTCTGCAACTTAAATTCTTGACGCATATACTACAATGGAGCTACGTTATTGTTGGACCAAGGCTCACCATCGTCGTTTCCTGGTATAATAAGGACCCAAATTTTATCCCCGGATAAAGTGATGATAGTTGCAGATTGTCGTGAATCTGGTCTACTTTCGGTGGTTCATGGTTGTGAAAGGGTGTGTCAGGATTGTGAAAACTAAAATATCCTCTTTGACTAACCCATGTAAATAGAGTTGAATGTTAGAATTAGTGGCTTATAATTTGATGATACTATTGCAGATCTTGAATTTAAGTTTGTCTATTTGTCGCGCCTATTAATCAAAAAAATACGTGGTTAAAACCATTTAATTTCATTTAAAAAGAAAATGCCATGTCATGTCATATAAAGTGGTAGTAATTAAGTAGGTGCCATATCTAAGTAGATCTAGGCCAGGTATTCTAGGTGGCAGGGTTTGATTGTTTCTCCCGTGGCCCAAGCAAAAAAGAAAGCATACTTCTTCTTCTTTTTGCCAATAAATTGAGATTCGGGACTTAAGATTTTATATATATGTATATAGATTGCAGCCACTCATGTATGCTTACAAACAGTAGAGCATGGGAGTCCCAAGTTGGGACTGAGGAGGTTTTCTTGGAGAACACATATTATCCATTGGCATCTTTCCTTGAAATGCAAATACCTTTTTTATATTCTGTACACATTAATCAAAAGAGAATGATAGAGATGAGCACTAGATCGATGTTTGCTTTGGGGATGGATCAGGATGATAGATTAAAGTTTTCCGCGAGGGAGCATTGAACTCATCAGCTCAGCTTGGTTCATGTTTAACCGCAAGCAATCTTTGTTTGTGATCTCGTATATTTTACTTCTCCGACATCTTACTGAGTTTTCCCTTCATCTTTTTTTTTTTTCAAAAAGACGTTTTTATGGTGGTAAATTCTCATCTTTTATATACGGATAGAAAAAAAAATGATAATCTGGGAGAGAAATGCACTTTTATAAAAACAGTCTAGTATCACTGTCGATAGGAGCAGAATAGATGACTTACAACTGAAAATCAATTTTTTTGAACAGAATAGATGACTTACAATTGAAAATCAAATTTTTGAATCCATATATCGTACGATGTAATAGAAAGCTTAAAATACATCTGATGGTTCGCATAATTTGAGATCTAACAATGTTCCGATTCGTCACATAAACTGATCGGGAGCTGACGATTCCTCAACTCCCTCTTTTTGAGGAATGACTACAATTACAAGCAAGTGATTGAATGAGTGGGCCAGGGGGCAACACACATGCAGCAGATGTTTAAGGAGATGGTCTAAAAATGGGCCTGGTTATTTTCTTCCAAAGTAATCTCGTTGTATAATCAAATGTTAAGCATTCCTTGTACTCATAAAACTTGTCTTTAAATTATATTTTAATTAGGAGTAACTCGTGCTTGAAGGTATAGTGTAATGTGAATGGTTTTGAGAAAAATGCTGCTGACCGTTGAATGAGTCTATTTGAGACTGGTATATGATCTTATTGAAATCTAATCTATTTTATATTATAGATATTGATGAAAAAACAACGTTTAATCATTAACTATTAGCTAAATTGTTCTTCCCAACTTATGATTGATAATTGGGATAAAATACACTTTTAATCCTTAAAGTATGCGTGTAGTGTTTATTTGATCTTTAATCTTTCAATTATACTTATTTGGTCCCTGAGATTTCTAATTTATATCTACATGGTCCAATCTCAAACGTCTGTCAAAAAATCGTTAACAGCTCTGGTTATGCGCCAATAATATGAGATCAAATAGACATAAATTAAGAACTTTAGAAACAAAATAGACAAAAAATTAGGAACCAAACAATTGATGTGCAACCATAATCAATAACGATTTTCTAACGGATGTTTGGATTGGATCACATAGATAAAAATTAGGAACGTTGGGGACCAAATAGACACAATTAGAAGATTGAAAACTAAAAAACACTATTTACATACTTTGGAGACTAAAAATTTATTTTATCCTGGAGAATTATATAAATCTTCCGCAATTTGAACCCTTTCTATCCAATCCTAATGTGATAAAAAAACATGAGATTCAGTCTTAAATGAATCCGATACCTTCCTGGACCTATCCTTATGCTTCTCTTTTCCAATGCCTTTATCCATTGTAGAAAGTAGCATTCAGTCCATTGATTCCTCCCAACCAGAGCTTATCTTTGTCTACTAGGAGGCCATTATCTGGCCTCAGCCAAGATCCCTCGTAGGAGTGTAAATTTTATCGATGAATAAGATACGAATATGACACGATACAAATCTAAAATAACACTTTCCATTAATATGAATAACGATTAGGTCAAGTTAGTGTTAAAAATGATTAATATCCATTTAGATAATAATGTAAAAAGAAAAATGAACATTTTTATGTCATTTCATTTTCTATGAATTATTTTAGTATTAAATAGTCTATTATTACAACAAATATTAATATAACTACAATAAGAATCAAAATACTAATAGGACCCAAGAATGTTGTGACGTGAATAGACACTTATAGTCGATCAGTTACATTTTATGTTGGTTTTGCACAACGGATAATTAACACAAATAATATTTGTTGAAATATATGAATTCAAAGATAAGAAAACAATAAAAATATGATACAAAAATATAACGTGGTTCAATACAACATACTTATTTTGGCACACTGTACCTACATCCACGGATCAAGAATCAACATCGATATATTATTCACTAAAATTTGGTCATCTGGTAACTGATTATATAATACTCAATACTGTAAGTCAAACCTATTTAGATACAACTTGATTTTTATTTTTTTTATCACATGTCTAAGAGACATATTTATGATATATTAAAACTCTTCTAATATAATCCTATTTTATATAGGATTCTCACATTAATTATCCAATAAACTCTTATTCATGATAACTAGAGCATTTGAGTCAAATTCCAATAGCCTCCCTTGAACCAAATTCTTCAAATTTGATCATGCCCAAGATCGAGCTAATTCACTAATTTTTTCAAGCACTACGTGCAAATTTGCTCTTCAGAGTCGCCACAATCCTCTCTGTCTTTCAAGAGTTTATGTCTTGGCCTGCATCTCTGCCCGCGTCTTATCTGCTCTTGGGAGGTCTCAATGGTCAATGTTTCACCATTCAAAAGTAAAAGTATAGTGACTCGTAACCCACGAGACACCAAATTATCACTATTGAATTTATATCAGCCCAATAGCTCCCAAACCATTGGAATATCGTTACTTTAACTCTAATAGCAAAAAAAAAAGTGAAGAAACATCTTCAACAAAACACGTGTGATAATTCTTGAAATCCAAACAATCAGGAAACAATTTAGTCTTTCGTTTGATTTCATACCAACTTAATCTTAATTTTTTTTTTTTTTTGTGAATCTAAATATGAATTGTACATACGTGGCAATAGAGTATTCTTCAACATAAACACCAACTTGATCATTGAATCCAAATAACTTGATTTGATTGTTACACCAGGATCATCAATCTAGCTTTGATTGTTCTACCAGAATCATCAATCTAGCTTTGATTGTTACACAAGGAGCGTCAATTTGGCTTTGATACCACTTGTTGGTTTTTGTACAACGGATAATTAACACAAATAATACTTGTTGGAAGATAGGAAAACAATAAAAATACGACACAAAGATATAACATGGTTCGATACAATATACCTACTTTGGTACATTGTACTTACATCCACGGATCAAGAATCAACATTGATATATTATTCACTCAAATCTGGTCATCTGGTACCTGATTACATAATACTCAACCCTATTTATAGGATAATACTCAATCCTATTTATATGGATAAAATATTGTAACCTAAACCTATTTACATACAACTTGATCTTTATTTTTTCTATCACATGTCTAGCATACATATTTATGGTATATTAAAACTCTTTCAATATAATCTTATTTCATATAGGATTCTCACATTGATTAACCAACAAACTCTCGTTCACGATAACTAAGAAATTTGAGTTAAATTCCAACACTTTATAACTTGTTTGCGCCAAATTCCTTCAATTTTGATTAGTTAGTCCCATTTGTATGCTGAGGTTTCACTTAACCAGCATACCAACTTATCGATAAAATATTCATTACAATAATGATATTACGTGGTAATGCTGACGTGATATTATTAATCAATAATATGAAAACAAATAAATAAAAAAGCCCACTAAAATTAATAATTAATCATCAACATAAGCAAATAACAACACACTCTTCTTCTATATAATCAAATAACTATTCAAGTGGGTTCACCTTATTCACTTGATGTTTTATTATTGATTGATGATAAGCATCGGTGATATGATATCACGGTTGCATTCAATATTTTTCTCCAACTTATCCTTGCTTCAAAGTTGCACACACGAGAGAGAGAGAGAGAGAGAGAGAGAGAGAGAGAGAGAGAGAGAGAGAGAGAGAGAGAGAGAGAGAGAGAGAGAGGGG